ACCGAATAGGCCGGCCTGGGAGATCGGGGAGTCCAGGAAGCGATGCTTGTCGGCCTCCCTCATATCCGCCAAGGTTAGCCATAGGTGGCGCTCCTGGACCACCAATGTGGACATCGTCTGACCCAGGGCCCGCGCCGTGACTTTCGTCGCCCTAAGTGCGAGGTCCGTTGCTGTGCGCAGTTCCTGCAGCACACCTGGTTCAGCACCACCCTCGTGCAACTGCTTCAACGCCTTGGCCTGGTGGACTTGCAGGAGGGCCATGGCGTGCAGGGCGGAAGCGGCCTGTCCAGCAGCACTGTAAGCCTTAGCCGTCAGAGCAGATGAGAACTTACAGGCCCTGGACGGAAGGCGTGGACTACCCCTCTAGTGTATAAACTTAACATATTTTTCTTAAATATATACATGCATGTGTTTGTATTTATATATACATAATAATATACACAGTGCACACTCATATACTCAATACATATTATATGAGTTGTTTTATTTTCTTTGCATTTCATATGAGGTTTGCAGATTTTGCCAACATTTAGGGGGCAGTAATATTAAATCCATATTATTACTTTTGTACTTTTGTTAATGTTACTTTTTGGATGGTTTTTCATTGAATGCTTTAAATAGTTGGACACAGTTAAGAAGGTCAAAACCTCTGATGTTACACAAGCCCAAATGTGTACAGACATTGATGCGTTTAAGCTCAAGTGTGTTATGTTCTCCTTAGTCACCTAGATGAAGGTTTCATGGGTCTAATGGCTATTCTAATGTACAGTTGCCAAATAAAATATGTTATACCTCACCAGAGGAGGTCTTGTGCTGTAGGTCACTGCCTTTCTCTATAACTGGCTGTGCTACGAAGAAAGAAATATGACTTTATCTTATCACTTGCTCAGAATCCTTCATTGGATCTCCCTTTGTGACCTCAGAACAATAGCTTTAAGTAGTCTCTCTCCCCTTCCCTGTCCCTGGAAGTAATCCATAATTAATAAGGGCAATTTGTTGAGTAATAAGACCTGCTGGAGAAAGTATATGATGCTCAGTTAGCTAGGCATCCTCTTACCCCGGCCGGAAAACGACTGAAATCAAACAAGCCTTGGCAATCATGGCTAGACTCTTTTTATAGGGTCATTCAATCAGATCAGATCGATACCCCCGAGGTACATCACAGCGCGACATGCAGTGATACCCTCAACATTAAAAGGTCATTTCCATTTTTAACAAGGTTAGATTTGAGAACACCCTGAGAATAGATATAGCTTAGATCAAGTATTTCTGCAGCATATTTCAGGTTCATATTGTGCATTTGAGCTGTTGTGCTGAATATCAGCACGTCTGTGATTCTTCAATATGGTTTATGATCACTTTTAAAGGAATAGTTCACCCCAAAATTAAAACTTGCTGAAAATGTACTCATCCTCAGACCATCCAGATAGATACCAAGATGTAGTTGAGTTTGTTTCTTCATCGGAACAGATTTGGAGAAATTTAGCATTACATCACTCGCTCACCAATGGATGCATTGCAGTGAATGGGTGCCGTCAGAATGAGAGTCCAAACAGCTGATAAAAATGTCACAATAATCTATAAATAACCCACTCTAATCTAGTCCTGTGAAGTGAAAAACTGCATGTTTGTAAAATCCATCAAGACATTTTTAACTTCAAACTGTTGTTTCCTCTATCCGAAAAATTGTTTTCTCAACTACAGTAGTCAACATTTGAAGTGGATCAAAAAAGTTAATCAAAGTTGTCCTAAGACAGAACACATTTTGGTTTTAGGTTTTAGGACAACTTTCATGAAAGGTTTTGATCCACTTCAAATGTTGACTGGTTTACAGTTACAGACTATTGACAGTCAATATAATCATATGTAGTATGCATGATTACAGTTGGAAAAATTTAACTTTATTACTAAATATAGTATAAATTTATTACACTTTGTTTGATTGTTCATTTATGCATTTATTTATATTGTATGAAATTGTTTTTAAGATTTCAATAAACATGAAGTTTATATTGAGTAACTTTAAATATTACAAATATTTTAGATGCAATATTTCAAGTTACTTGGTTTTTAGTGCTTCAACAAAGATAGTTTCAAACAAAGCCACAGTAGAACCGGTGCAACACAGAGCCACACACAGTAGTGGTGTTTTGTTGCTGAATGATTCAGTGTTTTTGAACAGTGTTTTAACAAATTGTTTAAGGAATAATCCAGTAACTCACCCATAAAGACGGTCACATTTCACTCCTGGATGAATCATTGTTTTTAAACAAAATGGTTGAATGAATGATTCGATTACTAACCTGCAGAAAGAGTCTCCAAAAAAATCCCCACCACTAATCAATCATTCATTCATTCGTTCGTTCGTTCGTTCGTTCGTTCGTTCGTTCATTCATTCATTCATTCATTCATTTTAAATTCTTAATGCTCTCACTGCTTGCTTTTTGCTTAACTATGTAGATTTTGTTCTGAATGTGTTTGTGTGCTTAGTGATGTGCAGAGAGACGTTCAGTACCTGTACAGGATCCAGGTGGAATCAGACGGTTTGTTCAGTGAACTTTCCCCAGGCCTGGTTTACACTCATGGAGAACATTTCTGTGGTGATGGCACACTACAGGGGTCAGTATAAACTTATAGGGTCCATCAGAGGCTTTGCATGTTACGTGCTTTAGTCATTTTTAAAGAATGTTTCATATTTTTGAGTATTTGTTTGAGTCTTTTGTGTTTTGAAGCATAGCCAAAGACCTTCCACATATTTCATAACTGTAACCCTTGGCATCGCTCTCTCTCCCCCACAGGACTGAGGATTGTGATGACGGGAATCTCTTAGATGGAGACGGCTGCTCAAAAAAATGCCAAGTTGAACCAGGTTTCAAGTGTCATGGTGAGTCACACTCAAAAAAACAAATACTGTCCACTGAGAACTCTGGCCCTCAGACTGTAAACACCACAACAGAAAACTTACACAAAGGACAATAAACCCGGGTAATAATCATAACTAGCTCTCAAAACAAAACAAAGCAAACCAAAACAAAACAATATAATATTGCTATGTCCCCTGTAGATTCGGATTCCTCTGCTACTGTTTTTCTCTCATAGTGATATTGAAGGAAATGTGAAGGTCGTCATATTCAAAAATTCAAAAATTATTAAATTATTAATAATTATTATGCCCGAAGTATTCCTTCTAAAACATAGCATTATGAATAAAATGCAACTGAAAGTGACAATTTCCTCAATCCATTCTCATAACACTAGACGATACAGACAATCATTACTCTGGAGTTAAAATTTAACATTGTTTAAATTATCCTCTGTAATCTGCAGATGGGAAAATGTACAAATAAAGAAAGGTCGCATGAAAAAATAAAATTGTTGCATGTTAGGTAGCAAAATATATACATAAATTTAAACATTACTTTTGTTGTTGTTGTTAGGGGGCGTCATATAATAATCATTGTATTGTGTATATATGTATAAGAAAATGTCTATTTTCATTATTTTGCAAAATATTGTTCATTGCTGTCATTAGTCATGTTTTTACATTATTGTGTCTTTTACACTAAATACTGTTTTACATTTAAATGCAGTTCTTTTTATATTTCCATTCATCAAAGAATTCTATTTTTTTAAAATTAGTTTCCACAAAAACTATTAAACAGCACAACTGTTTTCAACATAGATAATAAGAAGAAATGTTTACTGAGCAGCAAATCAGCATATTAGAATGATTTCAGAAGGATCAGGTGACACTGAAGAATGGAGTAATGGCTGCTGAAAATTCAGCTTTGCCTTCACAGGAATAAATTATTACATTTTAATATTTGTTAGGAAATCATTTGTAGGTACGTGGGATGAAACTACAATATAAACTAGAAAAAGTATATATAAGGTCTGAGGAAGGTCGATTGACTGAAACTTTGCTAATAAAAATATTTTTGTGATGATGCAGTTTTAAATATTATGCAGGATTTGTATAGTTTTTTTTTCTATTTAAAAATATATTAAAATAGAAAACAGTTTCTATTAAATGAATGTTATTGAATTATTATGTATTACTACATTCTATTACATTAATATATAATTACAGATATTATTAAATTATAATAATATTTCACAGTATTACTGTTTTTACTGTATTTTTGTAAATACATCCTTGGTGAGCATGAGAGACCCCTTTCAAATACATTACAATCTTACAGACCCCAATCTTTTGATCTCAGTGTGTAAATAATTATTTTCTGGAGTAACTTACACATTGTTATTTTTTAGTCCTAATTCTGCTAGAATGCAATATATATAATGTAGTAAAAAACAATTCTACTTGCTCTAAAAGTCCAGTATACTGACAGTTAAAATAATTGTTCTCTTGTGTTGCTGAGTTGTGGATCACCATATCTTACTGTTGTTTTTATTTCTAGGCTGACCAGAAAAAAAAAAAATCCTCATTATGAATTATGAGTAATTTCCTTGACAGCAAAGTCTGTGATATCTGACAATTCGGTCTGAATATTTGTGCAATACATATGCATTCAAAGATTCAATCCAGATTGCAAAGTATCCAGTCCAAACTGTGGATTTTAGGTCATTTACTGTAACATATAATTATATAATCAACATCATCTTATTCAATAGTGTCAAAGGTTTATGTCATCACACTATTGGAAATGGTCCAAACTGTTGCACATATAGTATTTCGTAAGCTGCAATGGATCTAACTGTACACCATTGTTACATAATGCACCTGAGTGAGAGTAAATGCAGTACAGGAAGACTCACAGGAAATGTTAGGAGAAAAAAAGGCAAATTTAGTCAAAGTTGTTTTCGTGACTGAAAGTGCTACATTTTCTTTGAGCGTGAAGCATGAGAAGCCTCTAATTCAAACATAACCATAGACGAAGCAGCGACTGACTCACATGCCTCAAACTTCCCAATGTTTTCATAGTAGCTTGTAACCGCATTTTTGTGGATTCAGGGCATTCGGGAATGGCTTTTTTGCGATATTTACTCTAATGCCACATTAGGAGCTCTCATATATTATCTCCACGAGCGTATTTGGGGAGCACAGATCAACAAAGCTTAGGAGTAAAGCCCTTGGCATTGGCATGTGGGTTAGGTCAGCTGTTCTGCAGCAGAGACGGCCAATCAAATGCTTGTGTTTTTCATTTGTTGTTAGAACCCTTTTGAGCCCCTCGCCTTTGATAAGCTGTTCCCGCCGATGAGTCAACTTCCTCTTACCTTTCAGCATTCTCAGACAAGAGCTCATGCAAGACTCTGATGTCATTCACACGTGTCACTCTCTAACGAATTCGCTTTAACGGCATGCTAATTCCCCTTTTAGCCCCACGTGCACTTCTGTCATAACTCATTCATACGCCATGACATCATCCACATATTTGTATGATCGTTTATTTAATCGTCCCGGTGGAATCACGTTCCTTTTTATTTTCAATTCACACATAAGTGAAGCCGAGTCTCACTGACTTGCTATGAAAACACAATTAGATCTTGGCAGTGAAGTCATTATTTGTTACTTATGATGAGTTTGTGCTCACTCTCTCTTGCTTTTTCCGTCTCTCTCAGGTCGGCCGAGCCTGTGCTATGTTTTTGAAGGGGACGGAGTGTGTGAGGAGTTCGAAAGACGTTCCAGCATCCAGGACTGTGGCTTTTTCACTCCCCAGGGGTTCACTGATCAGTGGGCGTCCACCGCCTCGGGCTCGCATCAGGACGAGAGCTGCCCTGCCTCAAAGGTCAACGGGGAGCCTGTGCTCACTCAGGTACACAAACTGTTTAGAAATCATTAGCCATTATGAACCGTTTATCTGCCTCACTAATGAACATCGTCTTAAATGAACCACTCAAATGATCAAAAAAATCTGTTATGCTTTGAACTAAATTTTACAGTTTAGATATCCTTTTTCTTTTTATATCCTCATCAGATGTGCAAGTCGCAGTATTTTGACATTAATGAAGTAGTGGCTCATGACGCCTGGAGCCCCTGTACTGCCCATTTGAATGGTTACTATACTCAGGATCAGCCTGTCTGGCTAAAGGTACACACACACTTGCTCAGTGAACAAACATTGAGCGTAAAGACTTTGAATTTGACAGATTATTCAATCTATATTGGGCTATTTGATGTAAGTATTAGCTTCACCCTCTGCTGACAGCCTTGTCAATAATTAATGCACATTTTGTGTTTTTTTCAAATATGCTTGAGTAAATTTAAAATGTTTTGTAAAATACGGGAAAATTTTTAAGCAGTTTTATGTACACTACTGTTTAAACTTGGGGTCAGTAGAAGTTTATTTATTTATGAAATTAATACTTGTATTAAGCAAGGATGCATTAAATGAATGAAAAGTGGCAGTAAAGGTTTTTTATAATATTACTAAAGATTTCTATATCAAATAATGCTGTTCTTTTGAACTTTCTATTCATCAAGGAATCCACAGAAAGGGTTTCCACTTAAATATTAAGCAGCACCACTGTTTTCAACATTGCTAATAAAAAGAACTGTTTATTGAGCACCAAATCAGCATATTAGTATGATTTCTGAAGGATAATGAAAATGACATTTTAAATTGTAATATTTCACAAGTACTTTTAATCAGTGAGCATAAGAGACTTCTTTCAAAAACATAAAAAAAAAATCTAATCTGGTCCCACTTTATTTAAGGGCCAATTCTCGCTATTAACAAACTATTAACTACAACGTTTGCCTTAATAAACTCCTAATTTGCTGCTTATTAATAGTTAGTAAGGTAGTTGTTGAGTTTAGGTATTGGGTAGGATTAGGCATATAGAATATGTTCATGCAGAATATGAGCTTTATCAGTACTAATAAACAGCCAAAATGTTAATGCTAATAAGCAACTAGTAATAGTGAGAATTGCTCCCTATACCTATAAAGTGTTACCAAAAATCTTACCATTCCCACATTTTTAAACAATATATATGTATGCATGTACAGTATATTCAGATTTTTTCCCCCGTATTTATGGCACTTATATTTCTATATGCCATCTATGGCCATTCAGAGAGGTCATAAATTATGTGAGCTAAGGAGCCATATATTAATTACTAATAATACTGATACTTTGTTTTTGCAGGTAGGATTTGAGCGACCGGGTGTAGCAGCCTCTGTTATTATCTACCTTGCCTATGATGGTAGTTGGCATGGCGAAAATTGCAGGAAAACAGTGACCATTGAACTGTGTGACACCACCGGCAAAAAACACAATCTTGGTAACACATAATATCTTTAATTTGATTGTGAAAGATTGTAAATTTTGTATTTTTATGTGACTTCGTTGTGTGTGCCTGTCCACAGGTTCGTACGAGCTGTCATGTCAGTATAACCCCCTAGTGGTGAATGTGACTCATAACCTGAGTGTGCCCTTCTACCAGACTTCAGCAGTGCAGCTCAACTTCTCCTCCTCTCAAGTGGCGGTGTTGGCGGTTGCATTGCGTACATCTTGTCACTTCAGCGCCTTTGCCCTGACCGGGTGCGCTGAGGGTGGGGTCTCCCACGACTTACAAGCACACACACACACACACACACACACACACACACACACACACACATACAGTAGTCAACATTTGAAGTGGATCAAAAAAGTTTATCAAAGTTGTCCTAAGACAAGAACACATTTTGGTTGTAGGTTTTAGGACAACTTTGATGAAAGTTTTTCGATCCACTTCAAATGTTGACTAGTGTATATATAAACACTACAAGTTAGGGATCTGTACAATTTTTTTACGTTTTTGAAAGGAGTCTCTTATGCTCATCAAAGCTGCATGTATTTGATCAAATATACAGTAAAACACTACTATTTTAAATATTATCACAATTTTTTTATGTAATTTATTCCTGTGATGGTGAATTTTCAGCAGCCATTACTCCAGTCTTCAGTGTCATATGATTCTTGAGAAATCACCCTACTATTCTGATTTTGTGCTCAAGAAACTTCGCTGATTATTATAAGTGTTGAAAACATTTGTGCTGCTTAATATTTTTGTGTAAACCATTAGTTTTTTTCTCCCCAAGATTCTTTTATGAATAGAAAGTTCAAAAGAACAGCAATTACTTGAAAAATAAATATTTTGAATGTCTTTACTCTCACTTTTAATCAACTTTATGTGTTCTAGCTGAATAAAAATATTATTTCTTTCAAAAAAAACAAAAAACAAAATGACATATCCCAAACTTTTGAATGGTAGTATATAAAAGACAAATACATCATACACTTACACAGAGACACAGATAGAAAAGCAAATAATTCCATCGTGTTTGATGGTGGATATGATGTCTGTCAATGTCTACAAATAATAATTAAATTAATATGTGTTTTTCTCACTCAGATGTGTGCGTAGGCTGTGCAGTACTGAGTCATGCAGTCCTCTAAACGTCGAACATGCTTCAGTCCGCTGTACTCCAGTCATAGACTCCAAACACTGCTCTGTTTCTTGTCATCGTGGCTATACGCTCACCGTTCTCCATGGCCAGGGCCTTCCTTCTCATCAAGTGCATACAATATTGTTAACATCCTGTTTCTTTCTCTCTGCAATAACCCCTTTAAGAAAGAAAAATCACATCTCCTTGATATCTAGTTTCTGCTAAGCAGCAGTGAGATTAAATGAGAACATATTGCTTTTTCGGAAGATTTTTTTTTCCTGAGAAGAGATCTTAACAATGACTGTGTTCATATTCTGCTAATAATTGAATTAGTCATTTTCCAGTTAGTGCTTCAGGTAAACATGTTTACATGATCCAAAATTTTGATTAATACAGCCATAAGCAAGCCATCTTATTCATATTTCTAGGAATATTGGCTTAATCGGGTCATGTAAACACCTTATTCTTAACTGGAGGCCCATTTATACAGTATGTGCGCATGTCCAAACAAAGATAATTTAGGGTGATATTAGATATACACAGTGTTTATTCAGTAGTTTGACTTTTTTGCAACTGTTTTGGAGCAAGAAGCATTTTGTAAACATAAAAAGAAAGGTCTACTTTTGTAAGTCTTGTGACGTACATTTTCCAAATCATCACATTCCTGTTTGTTATTGTGAAAGAGTTGATTAAATTATTGTGGAGAATTACTAAAATGCAGTGTAAGGGCAAGAGCATCTACAGTAATTCTAGAAGACAAGAGCAGGAACCCACATGTCTTAGTTTATTCAGATTTTGCAAAATACCAGAATATTCCAATAACTGTAGAGAACATAAACGCTTAAAATCATGTTCACATGTTCGATGTCTCAAATTGTGTTCACATTTACCAAAATACAAAAGTCTGTGAATTCAAACATTTCTCATCAAGTTATCTAAGAAAAGATATTCACACTGATTTTATAACTCAATGAAACAACGTCTTATTTGTGTCAAGTGAAATAATTGTCATGTTGTCTAATGAGCCTAATGAAACTATGACATTATAAGAGGCAGTCTTTCTGTTTGTTTTGTCCTCTCCTCTCCTCAGACGGAAGCAGAGCTGATTTGTGTGCATGGAGTGTGGGACCGTGTAGTGAGCTGTCAGCCAGTGGACTGCGGCCCACCTCCTCAGTCTCACGTCTACTTTGCCTCCTTCTCGTGTCCCTGGGGCACCACATTCGGCAAGCAGTGCACCTTTTCCTGTAACGCCCCGGCGATCCTGCAAGGTGAGGATGGGAACTGGGCTACAGTGTGAGACCTGAGGGTTTTTGGATTCCTTACATTCAGTGCATGTGTCTGTTTCTGTTAGACTTTGGGCTTCCTTTCTAAAATAATAAGACTTTAAGTCAATAACTGTATATTTGTGGGTGATATGAACCCTTCTTGTGTGTTTGCCCATGTAAACTGGAAAAAATCCAACAAATAATTGTGCTTTTTGGCATTCCTGAGGTCATTTGACTCAGAACTGCTAGTTGTGCCAGCACTAGTAAACATATAAATATTACTGCAAACAAATAATATGTATTATCATAAAATAATTGAATAATTGTAGTGTAATTTTATTTAATGATAGTCTAAAACCATAAAAACGATTTTGTTACTTGAAACAAAATACAATTTAATAATATATTATATTATATTATATTGTTATATTATATTATATTATATTATATTATTATATTCTAAAAAATAAAATACTTTATTGATTTGTTTGCTGTCACCGCTGTTATGGTTTGTGGAGAGGGTTTTCTGCTTTTTGAGTCAAATAGTGATTTAAAGCTGGACATGACACAGATAATGAGAAACCACAATGATAGTCAAAGTGCAGTGGTTTAGAGAACTCCAATCAATCATGTAGTTTTTTTTTTTTTACAGTGCTAAGCTAAATATTTGGATTTTTGTATGTATGTGTGCTTACATACAGTATATAGTCATTTGTGTGTCAGTGTTGTTCTTGCTCTCATTCAGGAACTGTGTGTCGGTCTGGCTGTGGTCCCAGCCCTCTTTCCTGGCTGTGTAAATAGAAAAGTAGACCCTAGCTGCAGGAGAACAGCACACAGGTGGAGATAGGAAACAAGCAAATAGGCAAGTAGCCCCCAGAGAGCCCCTCATTTAGGACAGCATAGAGCAGGCTGGCACTTGGCTCTCTTGCCTCTGGATAACTATGGCAAGGTGGCTCAGGGGTCGAGGGACCACTCCTCACACTCTCACTAGTTGTTTTAAATGCAGGCTTTTGATGGATCGGTCTAAATTTTTTTCTTTTGGCAGGGAGCGGTGCAGTCTGTGGTCAGTGCACTGGAAGGTCCAGGACATTGCATCACTGAGTAGCTATGCTTATTGGTCTTGATGGCAAGGTTCTTGTACTGTAGTGCTTTAAAGTGATGGGCTGTAGTGCTCCTTAGGGAGTTTTTAAAATCTATTCATGACTTGACATTAATTGGAACACACAAAAATAATACCGTGATTTATGTACTTAGTGAGAGACTTTTTTTTTTTTTTGAAGTGGCGAAAGCTGGAACTTTTCATGGATGTTGGAAAAATGCAGTTTGCAGCCATTTTTGGTATAGCTAAATTTAAGCACAGCTACAAAGTAGGCAGACACCTTAAAGCTTAAAGGAATCATTATATTTTATTGACCAATAAAACTGCTTTAGAACTTGAACAAAATCTAATTAGATATGTTACTATAATAGTACAATGAGAGAGTCCTATATCACATGGCACCACTGCACCATGTGCTTTATTTTATAAAGCGAGATTTTATGAAAACCACTGTAATACTTCTCTTATTAGTTAATAGAAACAGAAAACAAATATGACCTTTAAAACATATTATATTACCGTAATTAATGTTTTACATATTACTGTAAAACATTTATGCCTGTGCAAAGGTATTATTTCCAAACTTAATGGAAGTATATATTGTGACACTCATTTTTTGTAATATTTATTAATTTATTATAAATTATGATGCTTTTCATTCACAAAATTACTTGAATACAGCTCTTCTTCTTTGAACATGTTTTTAACCTCTGTATTAAAATTAATTTGTAATTAATATTAAAAATGAAATTTAATGTAATTAATTTAATATTGTAATGTAATTAATTTAATATAAAAAATATCAGGGTAAAACAACCATCCTTATTGATAATAAAGAATGAATGAATGAATGAATATATAAATAAATAAAAACTTTAATAAAAGAATGATTGAAAATATTTTTTTCTTTTTTATGTCTTGAGGTCATTTGACTCAGAACTGCTAGTTGTGCCAGCACTAGTAAACATATAAATATTACTGCAAACAAATAATATGTATTATCATAAAATAATTGAATAATTGTAGTGTAATTTTATTTAATGATAGTCTAAAACCATAAAAACGATTTTGTTACTTGAAACAAAATACAATTTAATAATATATTATATTATATTATATTGTTATATTATATTATATTATATTATATTATTATATTCTAAAAAATAAAATACTTTATTGATTTGTTTGCTGTCACCGCTGTTATGGTTTGTGGAGAGGGTTTTCTGCTTTTTGAGTCAAATAGTGATTTAAAGCTGGACATGACACAGATAATGAGAAACCACAATGATAGTCAAAGTGCAGTGGTTTAGAGAACTCCAATCAATCATGTAGTTTTTTTTTTTTTACAGTGCTAAGCTAAATATTTGGATTTTTGTATGTATGTGTGCTTACATACAGTATATAGTCATTTGTGTGTCAGTGTTGTTCTTGCTCTCATTCAGGAACTGTGTGTCGGTCTGGCTGTGGTCCCAGCCCTCTTTCCTGGCTGTGTAAATAGAAAAGTAGACCCTAGCTGCAGGAGAACAGCACACAGGTGGAGATAGGAAACAAGCAAATAGGCAAGTAGCCCCCAGAGAGCCCCTCATTTAGGACAGCATAGAGCAGGCTGGCACTTGGCTCTCTTGCCTCTGGATAACTATGGCAAGGTGGCTCAGGGGTCGAGGGACCACTCCTCACACTCTCACTAGTTGTTTTAAATGCAGGCTTTTGATGGATCGGTCTAAATTTTTTTCTTTTGGCAGGGAGCGGTGCAGTCTGTGGTCAGTGCACTGGAAGGTCCAGGACATTGCATCACTGAGTAGCTATGCTTATTGGTCTTGATGGCAAGGTTCTTGTACTGTAGTGCTTTAAAGTGATGGGCTGTAGTGCTCCTTAGGGAGTTTTTAAAATCTATTCATGACTTGACATTAATTGGAACACACAAAAATAATACCGTGATTTATGTACTTAGTGAGAGACTTTTTTTTTTTTTTGAAGTGGCGAAAGCTGGAACTTTTCATGGATGTTGGAAAAATGCAGTTTGCAGCCATTTTTGGTATAGCTAAATTTAAGCACAGCTACAAAGTAGGCAGACACCTTAAAGCTTAAAGGAATCATTATATTTTATTGACCAATAAAACTGCTTTAGAACTTGAACAAAATCTAATTAGATATGTTACTATAATAGTACAATGAGAGAGTCCTATATCACATGGCACCACTGCACCATGTGCTTTATTTTATAAAGCGAGATTTTATGAAAACCACTGTAATACTTCTCTTATTAGTTAATAGAAACAGAAAACAAATATGACCTTTAAAACATATTATATTACCGTAATTAATGTTTTACATATTACTGTAAAACATTTATGCCTGTGCAAAGGTATTATTTCCAAACTTAATGGAAGTATATATTGTGACACTCATTTTTTGTAATATTTATTAATTTATTATAAATTATGATGCTTTTCATTCACAAAATTACTTGAATACAGCTCTTCTTCTTTGAACATGTTTTTAACCTCTGTATTAAAATTAATTTGTAATTAATATTAAAAATGAAATTTAATGTAATTAATTTAATATTGTAATGTAATTAATTTAATATAAAAAATATCAGGGTAAAACAACCATCCTTATTGATAATAAAGAATGAATGAATGAATGAATATATAAATAAATAAAAACTTTAATAAAAGAATGATTGAAAATATTTTTTTCTTTTTTATGTCTAAAAATATTTGAACAAAACTACTTTACTGCTTATTGTTTGAATTCATGCTAAAAGTAATAGGTGCGATCAACATGGTAGCTGGTAAAAAAAAAAAAAACTCACCTTGAAAAAATATATTTAAATACTTTTTTCCTGAAAATAATGATTAAGTACACTCAGAAATAGTAGAACTGACTGCCCTCTTGCCTTCTTATGAAAAGCCCTTAACTACTTATACTGACAGCATTTTTGTTCCATTTGGATGCAGGTTTCTTATCAGGATCTGTTTTTCAGGTGAAAGTGACACATTGGTTTGTCTTGAGGATGGACTATGGTCATATCCAGAGGCTTACTGCAAGATTGAGTGTTCGGATCCACCTTCTGTACCCAGTGCCACGCTGCTAGTTCCTCAGTGTCATGGAGGCGGGCATGACGTGGGCACTGTGTGCCGCTACAAATGCAACCCGGGATATTACGTCACTGGCACACTCAACAAAAAGCCAAAAAAGTGAGTTGCAGTCTGTATGGTTTGAACTGATTTCTAGGCATAGGTTACTCTGTTGACAAATTTTGAGGGTAAAATATATGTTTCCAGCATCTAGGTTGCTCACATGGTTCTAATAAGATCAAAATCTTACTCCATGTGTTTCCAAATATCTTTCAGCAATGGAGTCAACAGTGTACTTTGATGAATGGTTTGATGGCGTGTTGTTTTGGTGTTCAATCCAATCAAGCTATAGCATAATTTAGCACATCTGAGGGGACTAGCGTTTGCACCTGCCTCGTCTTTATGAGTTATTAAAATGGCTGGTAAAATACCTCAGTGTCTTTTAACTGCTTTTAATTGGGCATTAATACCAGAAGCGATAGCCAGCGTGTCTCATAAAGCCATTTAAATGATCCTGTTTATTAAGACCATTGGAATGTTTGTTCTAAAACGCATTTCATTATGAAGGTTCAGCAAATGGTTTATGACGGTTTAAAGAGAGGTGTTATGCTATTATCAAGGTAGTTTTAGCCTGTGCTTCCGTATGATCTTTCTCAATGAACACTACACCCCAATTTATTTCCTCAGGATTTATTGGCTATTTGGTCATACCAGATGGTTTGTCACATGGCTTAGATGTGAATAAATCCCCTGTGGCTGGAGGAGAATATCATTCAAGAAACATAGTAATTGCTGCATTCACGTTGTGCAAAAATTCAGACCAGAAGCAGATTGAGAACCTACAATTGCATTTCAGCATGTTTAATGTAACAATTCTATTAACTGTCTCAAAAATCTAGTGAACAACCTATTGATACAGCTTTTTTATGCATTTCTCTAATTGTAAACAACAAAAGTATGATACCTTCTAAGGCCATTATTGTTTAATTATGTTTTTATTACATCCTTCTAAGGCCATTGTTGTTTAATTATGTTTTTTATTCCATCCTTCTAAGGCCACTGTTGTTTAATTATGTTTTTTATTCCATAATTAAAAGCATTAAAATTACATAGTTCAATTTATTTAAAAAGGCATTGTTAGCTTAGCAACATGCTAGCATCACAAGTAGTTAGGATAGGATGCTCTTTATAGAGACGGACAGCCACACTGTACAAGTTACTAAGATTTTTTTTATTGATTGATTTTTGTATTAATATTTTAATTTAGCAAGGATGCAATAAGTACATCAAAAAAAGACAAAGACATTTTATGGAAGCTTAAAAGTTAATTGTGAGATTTTTTTTTCTCACAATTCTGACTTTTTCCTTAAAATTCTGAGGAAAGAAAGACAGAATTGTGAGATTCTTTTTTTCTCTCTCAATTCTGAGTTTACATATTGAAATTCTAAGTTTGCATTTTATGCTGAATTTGTTTTTTTTTTCCCACCACAGAATAAAAAACAAAAATGATAATTGTGAATATTTTGTCTCACATGGCTTAATTTTTTCTCGCAATTCTTAGTTTATATCTCGCAATTAATATTAATCGCAACTGTGAGGAAAAAAGTCAAATGGGAGATAAAAAGTTTCCATAGTTCTTTTGAACTTTCTATTTAAAGAATCATTGACTGATTTAAATGCTTTCTATATTTTTTCTTTCTGTCTGTCTGTCTGTCTATCTATCTATCTATCTATCTATCTATCTATCTATCTATCTATCTATATGTATTAGGTATTAGGGCTGCCCCCTAATAGTCGACTAATCGTTAGTCGACCAGAAGAGGCTTGGTCGACCAAAAGTTTATTAGTAGCTTAGTCGCAGAAAAAAAAAATCCACATTGGCGAAGTCACGCAGATCGTGACGGATAGATCGGTAACGGCTGGACCTATGTGGTGATACAGTATGGTGAAGTACATCGATCAGGACATCCAAACGCTCGACTATCATTCATCGACCTCAAATATGACTTATCATCTGAAATATGTTAGTAGCAGCAACTTTACATGGCTGCTCAATCTAATGTTAACCTAGAGAAATGTGCGCTATTGAAGTGTCTGTGCGGAGTGTGGAAGCTGAACAGTAGCGCGCTCACAAGACAGATGGAGGTGCCGGTGCGGTCAATTGCTCTTAAAATTCTCCTTCATTTTTGGTCATACAGATAAGAGTAATACATCTTTCGAATCTATAATGACTCTGCATTTATTTGTGTGCACACACAATAACAACAAAACATTGCACTTTTGAAAAATAATGAAAGCAAACAGGATGCGCTTTCTGCCATCTTGGTCTCTGTGAACTTGAGCGCGAAACTCCGTGTATACTTTCCTTACAGATATGAAAGCATATCTATAGAGAGTGAAATGTCTACTTTCAAATGAACCAATTCAAATGGAAAACAATATTCTCAGATTATGTAATCCATATGAAACATGCATAAAGGCACATCACTACTGCGGAGATTACGAGTCAGTGTCGCCGACTTCATCCCTTAAAACCGAAAACAAAGAAAGCACTAGTTTATCAATACATTATTAATGTTAATGCAGCCTCCTTACTGTTTTTCGCTGACACATACATAATCATACTTGCTGGTGTGCTGTAGCAAGCTTTATGCGCACTTGTGTGCTTATAAGGCTACGTAGGCAATTAAAGGCTCATATTTATGATTTAATGTCTTAAATGATTCCCTTTGAGCTAAATTGACCTGTTTCCCTTACAACAATAAGTAATGCACTTACTGCATAAGTAATATTTAGACAAGCCTGTAAAATACTGGGAGAATATAGTCTGGTCAGATGAGACCAAAATTAAACTCTTTGGATGCCATAATACACACCATTGTTTGGAGGTCAAATGGCACTGCACATCATCCCAAAAACATCATGGTGTGGCACTGGCAAAGTTCATATAATTGAAGGAAGGATGAATGGAAAAATATACCGAGACATCCGAGACAAATCTGCTGCCATCTACCAGGATGATGAAGATGACATGAGGGTTGACATTCCAGCGTGACAATGATCCCAAACACAGCCAAGGAAAGTCTCAATTGGTTTCAGAGAAAGAAAGTTGCAGCAGCAATATTTCTTACATGTTCACAGCAGCATGTTGTGGATATATTGGCAGTAGCAAGTCTCGGTAATTGCTCTGCCTCAGCAGCAGTAGCGTAGCAGATCTATTCCGCCAAGACCAAATACATTAACATTGTCATGTACATTACCATGCCAATCCCTCAGAGAGTTGTCATGACATAAATATATTTAAATTGCAGTAGTACTTAGGGATAGGTTAGAGTTAGTTTTTACTGTTTTGACAACATTAAGAAATCTAGTAGTGTAGGGCTTAGTGAGTCAGCTTACTAGATTTTGAAACGCAGCCAAAGCAATGACTTTGTACAGGTATTATACTGTAGGTATGTGCGTAAAACAGTTTTACCCTTTCTTCATGCTAATGACTTGTTTTTCTCAGGAAGTTTCTGAGGTTGGAGTGTTTGGAGGGTGGGATGTGGCAAGAGGGCAGCTGTTCACCTGTCACATGCCCTCCTCTCCTGCTGATGTTTGAGGGCATGTACACCTGCACCAACAATTTGGATTTCGATAGTATCTGCACCCTACAGTGTCCCGAACCAACAGAAAGGGTATTGTAGCACTTTGTAGGTCAACTCTATCTGTGTATTCCTAAACTCTGCAGTCATTAAACACTCATCTGCATTTGTCCCTGCAGTCAAGCATTCGATGCACCAAAGATGGCAAATGGACTGAGGACTTTACTATGTGTAAGAAGATAGAGGGACCGTGCCAGCCTCCTCTTGACCTTAACCTGGTGGAATACAGCTGTGAGGAGGGCTTTGACGTGGGTGAGGATTTAAACTGACAAGACAATTTACTGGTTATGAGATAAAAGTTGCCCATTTCAAATATGGAAATAACTAGACAGTCGATTTCTAACAAAGCAATGATTATTGTCTCAATCATTGTCTGAACATATATGCATCTTACTATTTTGTTTTATTTGGCTGTATATTTATGCCACTGCATTTATTCTTCCTAATAAGAGGTCTAGACATACTGTACTGTACCTGGGCCACGAGACCATAGTCAGTTGCATGCACTAGGATACTTTTGAGTGCCAACCTGCCAAGCTGTTTAACTATGGATGACTAGTCCGGAGCTTGGCTATTCATGTGCTCACATGAATAAATTCAACAGATGCAAATGATGGTTAAAGCAAAGCTTGCTTTGTGTCATGGCAGGTGCAGTCTGTTACCCAACATGCATTGTGGCCTTGAGTGACCCTGTGGTGTTAGCCAATGGCTCCAGTGCTGATACAGTAGAGCACTGGATGCTTCCCAGCAAGGTGCAGGTGAGGTGGTGGAGCCAGTTTGCCACAAATTGTTATTTGATATCATTGGCTGTTCTAGTGCTTTAACCAAACTTCAAGTTTGAGAATTTAGGCACTTTCCATTTTTTCAATATTTACTATTAAACTATTAGGAATGCATTGCATATCATTAACTAATAAACAACATTATTTTTACAGCATTTATTAATTAGAATGTATTCATTTACTTCATTTTCTGCTGAGGATCCACTGGTGAGCAAAGTGATGTAATGCTAAATTTGTTTCACCCTATGAAGAAAAAAAACTAATCTACGTCTTGGATGGCCTGAGGGAGAGTACATTTTTAGCTCATTTTAAATTTTGGGTGAAGTTGAACAATTCCGTTAATGTTAATTTGTACATACTAATAAATTTAAAAATCATTTTAAGTTGTATTCAATAGGAATGAACGTGAATTACCAACATGAGTATATTTATACATTCTAATTATGTATAAATATTATAAAATATAAATGCATTATAACAATAAAATAAATAAATCTAAATTATATAAAATAGTTATACATTTAACATTAACCTAGATAAATAAATGCTGTAAAAATGTTCCTTGATAGTTTATAATGCATTAAAATAATAATATGCATTATTATACAATATGGTAACACTTTAGTATAGGGAGCAATTCTCACTAATAACTATTTGCTTATTAGCATTAACATATTGGCTGTTTATTAGTACTTATAAAGCACATATTCTATACATCCCTAATCCTGCCCAATACCTACAGTACACTTAACAACGACCTTACTAACTATTAATAAGCAGCAAATTAGGAGTTTGAGGCTAAAGTCGTAGTTAATGGTTTGTTAATAGCGATAATTCGGCCTTAAAATAAAGTGTGACCACTAATATTATCGAATTGAACATTATAAATTGTTACTGTATTGTTCTTATATAAAGATCTTACTTAGTCTTTATTGTAATGATGTAAGAGCTGATATGGCAATAAAAGATAAATGTCTTTTTAAGGGACCAGGTTTTCCTTGTCCATTAATTCAGCCCGCACACAAAAGGTTTTTGCAAGTTGTCTTATAAATGTAGTCAAGACTGACCCTCAAAAATGCCCCCTGAAATGATTTTCTTAGACTGAAATTAAATGTCTTTTTTCCCTGTTCCACACATCATGACATGAGGTGTGTTTGACATCTGTCAAATGTAAAAGCGCTCACTTTTCTGATCTTTGTTTGTGGGGACCTTATTTGGCTTTAGGCAGAGGAGCTTCCAGACTGAATATTTTGGATGCAAAATTGGAATCGCATTATTGGCACATTAGAGTGATAAGTTGGATTGGGTTTCCTTGATTCTCGCTCCAAAACCAGGTTCAACTCACCTCTCTGCGAAAGTGTTGATTCTGTCTGTCACTGTCATATCAGCTCATGAGAGTAATGATTACAGTGTGATGTTTTTATAAGAGACGCTTAAAATGCCACACGTCAAGCATGACGCCTCTGAAGGTGTCGGACTCCCATTGTTTATAATGATACATCAGCACCCATAAGAACAGCCTGCTTTACAGGAATGTTGTCCAAAGTATTGCAGATTGGGTAAGAATGATGGAGGAAAGGTCACAGTAGGAGGGAGATGAATAAGAGATAAGCAAGTTTCTTTCCAGAAATTCTGCTTTAGAAACAGGTCAGCTTTCCAATTCTGAGAAAATGTCAAATCAGTGAAATATTTGTTCAATTTGAAAGGACAGGAGGCAAAGAGTAACCCTTATTATATGTCATAGTTATTGGATATTAATTTGCAGTATTATTTTTAGGCACCATGTCTCATTTTTGTCTTTTAAAATTAAGTTCGATATTATTCGATTTCTGAAAAAGTCTAAATAAAATAAGAATAAATAGAAACCCCATTTTCAGATTTCCTCTCAAGAAGATTTGTTACAAGAACTTAATCAATAGTAACAAGTCAGCTTTTTTGTTTAATGATGTCATCATTACAATGCAGTAATTGACTCTCTCCTTCCGCTTCCCTCTTGTGATCCTCTATTTCTCTTCCTTTGAAAGAGTATTGTCTGTACTGGCATGTTGAAGTGGCATCCGAATCCAGCACAGATCTACTGCATTCAGTCCTGTGAGGTGAGTGCTAATTATATGATGTGATTTCTTTCTGATTAGAAATAAAGTACATCATACAAGAGTCAAAAGAGTCCCTCACAGCTAATGTGATTTTATGCAAGATGGAAATGATTCTAGATTCTTTCTAAATTCTAGCTCATTCTGTCACCCTCATGTTGTTACAAAACCATATGCTTTTCTGATTTTCTGTATTTACTCTGTATCTTTCAGGTCATGCAGCTCTTTTCCCTAGCACAGCGGTTTATGTTGACCAAAAGCATCAAAAAAGATTAAAACAGACAAACAATACAAGCACCCTAAAAGTAGTCCAAAAGATTTGATCACTGTATTTCAAGGTTTCTGAAGTCACACGATAAACATTTGAAGCATAGAAGTGAAAATAGTGTTGAAATGAACAGTTGAGTGTTTATTGTATTTCTGTCTGGATTTTAGCTCCATCAGTGATGTCAGGAGATAGATATATCTTAAAAATGTGAAAGGGTGGAGAGGTGTTTAGTACAGTATGTCATTCAAATTAATGAAGTGTGAGACTTGGATAAATTAAAAAAAATAAATAAAAATATTTTATATATTATTGTTTTTCCTTATAAACACTACTTTTCAAAAGTTTGAGGTCAGTAATATATATATATATATATTTTAAAATAAATTAATACTTTTATTCAGAAAGGATGAATATATATATATATATATATATATATATATATATATATTAGGGCTGTCAGTCGATTAAAATTTTTAATATAATTAATTACATGTGTCGATTAATTTATCTAATTATTCGCAAACAACAGTGTGAAAAAAAATTGGCTGTGAAAATACCCCCTTAGATTATTTAAAGCTATTTTTGTGTTAAATGAGAAAGTATTAAGTAGACATTACAAATAGTAGCTTTAGAAAGAAATATTTCATTTGATTCAACATAAAACTTATTACACGTTTAGGCTACAACGGACTAACATAAACTATGGAACATAAAAGAAGATCATTTAAGAAACATCTCAGTTTTTTTCGTTCATGTAATGGAAGTCATTGGTAACCAAAACAGCTTTGTTACCAACAGTCTTCAAAATACCTTCTTTTATGTTCCACAAAAGAAAGTAAGTTATTCAAGTTCAAGTAAATTATGACATAATTTAATTGTTGGGGGGTGAACTGTCCCTTTAAAGCGTTTTATCCCCTTTTTTTAATGAAATAATACTCTAAATAAGAAACTAAAACTGCCAGCAGGTGGCGGTAAATTTCTTTATGAGTCATTCATTCATTCGATTCGTTCAAACTGCATTTTTAAGATGGAATTCAGTAAACGGTAAACTTTATGAATGGGCCTTTGAATCATTGGTTCACCTGATTCGTTCAAAATGCGGATTCATTCAGAAATACCGCTGTGTTGCTCGTAGACACACAACAGTTCTGCTGTGGCTTTATAGGTAATATTTTTGTTGGCAAAACTGAACAAAAACAGACAGTATTGTGTTTAAAATATAACACAAGTTTAACTTATTTACTGAACTGTTGTGTAAAATCACATTTGGGACAACAGTACTCGTGTGATTGCTCTCACTGCTCGTGTGATATCGTTTATCATATGATATAAATATGAGACAAAAACTCATACAGGAGCATTTTTTTTCCCCAATATCTTGAATTATAGGGCATAACTGCATTTATGGAGTTGTTGCCCTGCATCATATCAAAGTCCCTTTCCCCATTCAAGAATGTATTAAATTGATCAGTAAAAAAAAAAAGGAAAAAAAGTTGAGCATTTTAGTGAATAACAAGTTAGATTTTGTTCTACTCCCCATACAAAGCTATGCTACATCTTTTTAAAGAAAATAACTTTAGAGTGCCACTGATAAAAAAAACAAAAACAACAGCATATGGGTTTGGAAGAATATCAGGGTGCATAAAAGATGAAAGAATTGTATTTATAATACTGATAGGTACGCCAGCAGTATTTTAGAAGTAAAATCAACGGCAAGAGTTCACATCTGCCTCATGTCAGATCTCGAAGAGAAAAGAGCAGTTTGACAGATAACCACCAGCAGAGCATTGAGGTGGTCCAGGAGGATCAGGGAGCACCATAATCAGTGATAAATGATGACGGTGTTGATTTTTTAGTTTTACGTTCCAGTTATTGTGTCATGGAGCTTCATGCACAGATGGGGAAACCTGTTTTGCTCTTCACTATCTCTGTAGTCAGAACTTCATGTTCGTCTATTAACTGGGCCATTTGACCAAAATGGAACTCGCAAAACAAATCTGTGATCCATTGAAACATTTTTTAAAAGTATGTATAAATACATCATAATAGGTCGGGTTAGTAGCACATAATGTGTCTCAAGAGTGACTTTGAAGCTATTTGCGCCCACAGGAATTCAAATCTGGATGAACACAGTCCAAAGGGTCAAGAAATACAGTCCTTCAGTTTTCTGTTTTTATTTTGTCTGTATATGGTTTAGACATTCCCAAGTTTACATTTACGTCAGTAATGAGGCATTTTGTTGTCAGGGATTTCCGACACCATCCGCTCTCATATGGAGACATCTTTAACATCTCCCGTGGCCAAGAGAAACATTTAGCGCGATGGTTGATGGACTGCGTGCCACATCTTCCCACAGCATGCTGACAGATTGATTCTCACCGGTTCTCCTTTTATCGCAAAAATAAAACCGAATGAAAATATCATTGCCACTGTAAAATGTGGTATATACATAATCATAAAACATATTATTCCGGTTTCTGTTCCTTTAGAGTCCTTCCCGCAATTCACAGAATCCTATTTAAATTCACCCTGAGCACTAACTCATCAGACTTTGTCGACAATTGTAGTTCTGAGGTGCCAAAGCAAATTAATGATCTTATCGGTGTGTGCGCAGGTCAGCTAGACAGAGAGAATTTAAAGGATGTTATGTAACTGATGGATGCGTTAAACCAGTTGTAAAATAATCACAAATTATATGTGACGAAAGTAACATACCAGGCTTCCCTAAAAGTCAACAGAAGTAACGCGGCAGAGTCGTGTGAAGTCTGGAATCGAAAAGAGTGTTGAAATGAACAGTCGAGTGTTTTTGGAAAATAATGGATGACTGTTTATTGTAATTCTCTCTGGATTTTAGCTCTGCCAGTGATGTCAAGGGACGTATCTTGAAGACGAAAGGGTGGAACGGCGTTTAGTATGGTGTGCCGGTCAAATGTGTGAGACTTGAATAAATTGTTTAAGATTTATTTTAAAAAAATCAACAAAAAATGTTCTCATATAAAAGGTAAAAAAATATTGATATAATATATTCTAATCTTGTATATGTTCTGATACATTTTTTTGTACAAAAATACATTTTATTTAGTGCTGTCAAACGATTAATTGTGATAAATCGCATCCAGAATATAAGTTTTTGTTTACATAATATGTGTGTACTGTGTTTATTTATTATGTATATATAAATACACACATATACAGTATATATTTCAAAAATATTTACATGTATTCACATGTATATATTTATATTCATATAATTTATATTATATATAAATATATTTAAAATATAAACATAACATATTTTCCTTAAATATATACGTGCATGTGTGTGTATTTATATATACATAATAAATATACACGGTACACATACATATATTATGTAAACAAAACCTTTTATTTTGGATGTGATTAATCGTGATTAATCGTTTGACAGCCCTAATTTTATTGTTATTAATATCTTTAAAAGAAAATCTAAAAAAAAAACTAACCCTTATCATAACGCTAACCCTAAAATTTATATTTATATATTTTTTTATATAATATATTTTATCTATTTATCTAGTTTTATCATCAGTTGCATATCCAAGTTTTTTTTTTTCCCCATGGATATCCGATTTTATAATTTTTAATATAATTTCAGAGTGAAGCAGACAGGTTTTATGAACTATTCATTCTACCTTGGAACTCACCATTCCTTTAGAGGGATGTTTTATGATATTCAAATACCCCTTATCTGCCAGACCCTCTCATCTCCTCTTGACCTAATTTGTTACCTAGCAAAACAGTTGCTTTTATATCGGAGACTTAGTATAAATTATTCCACAGCACATGTTCCAGTTGCTCTGCAGCACATCCAGAAGGTATTTCTCATTACAGGCTGATGATAAGTGAAGAGGTCAGCTCAGATTATGCTTTATTTTATGTGTCATTATTAATATTTTATTTCGAACCACCAAGGCCAAACATAAGTAGACTTTACGTCTGCTTTTGCAACCCTTGGTTCTGGAGGTTTTTTTCCTTCAGATGAATAAGAAAGCTAATGGAAGCTTTCTTCAGGTATTATAGTTGTCCATGTATTGGTCAGACTGTTGAAACTTATGATCTTCTGAGCTTTGGACTATTGGGGCTGTTTGTTTGTTTGTTTGTTTCCCCTTTGCCTACTATCAAGTACAATTTACTTGACTGGTTCGAACCAGTTTTTCAGTCAAATTTTTCCCCTTTTTGTGTGGCTCCATTTGAGAAAACCATACAGATGATGCCACAGGTTTATGAAGAACCACTATTCACATTCCTTGCTGCAAATATGGTTAGAAGAATGGTCATCTGATTCCTCTCAGGGCATGCACTGGGTTTCTTCATCTTAACATTATGGAAAGAGTTGACAAGACAAAAACACAAAAAAACCTGGAAACACTTAATTCGGCCTTTCACTGTTGTGATGTGTTACCTAAAATTTGTTTTTCAGCATGTTCAGCTTTCATTTAAAGACAAAAAGGAGAAGTTTACATTAGAAATGAAATGGAGGGGAACATAATTAGTAGTTTTTTGGGAACTGTGGAGAGAGCCAATCAAGGAGCGCATACTTTAGTGAAGTGAGATGCCAGCACTAACATGGGGCCTCAAAACAATGTTGTCCGTGAAAACATGTTGTTGCCATGGAGGTTAAGTTTATTCTATCTTTCGCTTAGCATTAGATGTGGTCGGTCAGGCAACCTGTGGAGTGTGTCCTCCCTCGCGTTTAGGGATTTCATGTTTAGGGATTTAATTTCTCCCAACGTCATGTACTGTATAAGGTAAAAGATACCTTCATTGTTTGCTTCAGATAAGATTTCAGTTTGTTGTTCTCCAGTATCTCCGATTGCAAACGCACATTGCAGAAACTGTTGCTAGGGGTTAATTGTGTTTTTTTAAAAATACATCTTTTTAAAGTGACTCATAGAGGGTTTCGTTTTCAATAAATTCATGTAATCTAAATCAAACTTTGGATACTGTCCAAAAGCATAGCAGGGTTGCCTACTAAAACCCCTCTTTGAGAGGAGGCCAGGAAAATGAATTTTCGAATGGATACCTCAAAGTGGACAGCTTGAACTGACACTGAGCATTAGGCAATCTGAAGAGGCATTTATATTTATCATCGGAATACAGTAAGGTCATGGTGTCTTTCCTATTAGGTGTTGAAACTGATGAAATATATATATAGTTCTGCATATGGAAGGCTATAGTTTGGCTGTTAGTATTAGTTCTATTGATCTATTCTATATTTTATTATTTTACGTTTTATATATTCATTCTATTACTGACAACTACAAAAATGTAGATCTTGAAATCATATATTGTCTTAATAAATTGAAAATAAATGCAAAAAAACCTGAAATGAATCATGCTGGTGTCTTTGAATCGCAACATCGATGAAAACACCTAACAAATTTCACTGCAGCTGGGGGAAAAAAATCTATTATTTTATTAGTTCTGCCAGTTCAGGTTACATGTTACATTAAGGTTCTGCCTATGAAAGGATATAGTTTGACTGTTAGTATTATTTCTATTGAAACTATGATTCAATAGATACATTTGATTTGATTTGATTATTATTTTGTCTAAATAAATAAAAAATAAATACAAAAAACAAAACTGAATTTAATCATAAATGCTGGTGTCTTTGAATCAAAAGATTGAGGAAAACACCTAACAAATTTAACTGTAGCTCCTTATGCTTAGAATAAATCTATTGAGCCAAGACAGCCAAAATTAGCAAATTTTTGGGCTGTCAATTTAATTTAATAATTTATCATGATTAATTGTGAAGAAAATAAGCATGAGATTTAAATGTTTAAATATTTTGGCAGACTGGATTTACATTATATTGTCCATTGTTTTGGTCAGATTTGGACTTTTCTTGACTATTGTTTTGTCTTGAGCCAGATATACATGAGGTCCGGGTCAGATGATTTTGTGTAGTGCTTCAGATGGTTGACTACAGCGTTGTTTAACATTCACTGGCAGTTTTCCTCTGCTGGCCGGAGCAGATGCATTCCACACATCCTTCCCATTTACTGTTACACGACTCTTTAGTTGAGGCATTAGGTCATTTTTCTTTTTCCAGCCTTTTCTAAAACAACGTTAATAATGCATGTGTTTTAGATTCAGATATTTAACTTGCAGTATGTAACACGTTAATTTAAACACAAAGTGGTAAGATTGGTTCAAAATTGTTATTGCCAATAAATTCGCAATGTGCTTAAGGTGATAAAACAGATGGAGAGCAAGAATAAAGAAATAAACGATATATACACAATATATATACACATATACACAAGCTAGAAACTGAAGAATGAAAAATTATATTGCTTATGACTTGGAGAATGAGAGCACGGCATGAAAAACATTTTGGATTGGATGTAGGTTTTGAAGGTATAAATTCTACAGAGATCTCCTTGCCAGCTGCTCTTGCACAGGGATGTGGAATCAGGTAGAAGCTGGACTCTTTGAAAGGACTCCACATGCGCAAGAGAGCCAAAAGTGTCTTTGGCAGACGGCTCTCGTTTTTTCTGTTATTGGCATCAGATCCTTTAGGTTAAGTAAAATCCTTTAGGAAGGCATTATGACACATTTAAAGTGTTTATGCATATTCAATTTGATAATTGTAGTCCACTCAAGAAGGTTGGATTTCACTCCCTTGGGCATTGCAAAACAGGTAGCCATGCTCTCACACAGGTGAAGTAATGGCATCGGAGGAAGTACGAGAAAGTTGGGAAGTTTTGTCAGGAATAACAGATGCCGCTTTATTTTATTTGAAAGGAATAAATGAGGAATGCCACCTACCATAAGGTATAACAGAAATCCCTTTGGCATGATTCATGCATTTCTTTCCTCTGAGATTCTTTTCTCTCAGAATCGGCCTCATGTTCAGAGAAAACTGTTAATTGTATATAATAAAATTAAGTAACTCATGCTTGAACCTTTAAAAGACTTACTAGTTCTAGTGAGTTCAAATTGTTTGGATATATAATAAACCGTTTCTGCATATGGAGAGCTATAGTTTGCCGGTATAGTATAATATTCATTCTTTTAAAACTATCAATCATTCTTAGATGAATGTATGCAATTAGATTATTATATTAGAAATTACATTATTTGTTGTTATTATTATTATTTTTTTATTATTATTATTGTTTTATTTTAACATTAATATCACTAAAAATGACTGATATTAAAATTGTATTCTATTTTGTCTATTTTGAGAGAGAGAAAAAAAAGTTAATTTAGGCATATTGAATTTAGGCCATAATGAAAAATGTATATTAATTTAATTAAATTTAACAGTATCATTAAATTATGGTAACACTTTACAATAAGGTCCCATTAATTATTAACTAACATTAATGCATTACCTAATATCAACTAACAATGAGCAATACATTTGTTACAGCGTTTGTAAATCTTTGTTAAGGTTAGTAAATAAAAATACAATTGTTCATTGCTAAATCATGTTAGCTGAGGTGAGGTCCATTAAATAGTACCAACAAATGCAAGTTTTTATTTTAATACTGTATTAGTGAAAGTCGGAAATAACATTAACTAAGAATAATAAAAGCTTCTGAAGTATTTTTTATTGTTATTTCATAACTAATATAGTAAACAAATTAAACCTTATTATAAAGTGTAACCAAAAAATAAAAATAAACCAATATATTGTGCATTCCTAATTTTAAATGTATTACCATGCAAAAATGTTCTTTGTACAGTAAATATACATTATAAACACTTTATTCTGTAAGTGTTACTCAACCAGATGTCTTCTGTTTTTCTTTTAATTGAGTTTTTCAACTTTATTCTGTAGCCATTTGGAGGAGATGGTTGGTGCGACACCATTAACAACCGAGCGTACTGCCAGTATGACGGGGGAGACTGCTGCCCATCCACTCTCTCATCTAGAAAGGTAAATCTCATCCTAAAGGCGGTTCCTCTCATCCTCATTCATTCTACATTGCTGTCTCATTCCTCTGTCACAGCGCCAATCTCTGTCTCACATATTGCCGCCACATTGTCAACCCTTTCCATGAACGTCGCCCACATCATTAGGCGCTCAGGTGGCGTGTTCTCCCAAAGAGAGAATAAGCTCGGGGGGGAAGTGTCTGTCATAAATAAATGACTGGATAGAGCAGCTTTTATTAGCAGAGGGCCAGGTGTCCGCGGTCACGGGCAACTGTAAAACAAGCAGGGTCTGAGAAAGTGAAATAAACCGTGAGGAACAGCATCCTGCCACTGTAGGTCCGGCAGAGCTGCCATGCTTCTGTTTACGCAGGCCATGGAAAAGTCCGAGTACGTTGGTGGAGCAGTCTGGTTTAAGAGAGTCTAGGACGCGAGCCAGAGAGAAGTTTGGACAATAAAGCACAAATTCCTCTCATCCCTCATCCCCTGTGGCTCCTTTTCTAGCATCCAAATACCTGCCACATGCACAGGAAACAAAATTATATGCACAGATAAAATTGCAGGTGATTTGAAAGCAAACATTTGGATTTTTTAAAAAGCATCTATTTAGCATAAAACCAAAGCTGGACTTCCGTCTTCCAAAGAATCGCAACATAAATGAGTGGATACTCTCAAATGTCCCGCAGTTAGACAATTGCATCCTGTAAACATCAGGTGAAATCAGAGCTTACGCTGTAGCTTCATGTTTACTTTTCCTGCAGTAGGCCGCTTAGCTGGGAATTTAGGTTTATTTTGGAACCTGTGGTGATGGCACGAATCCTGGACGAGAACCTCCTCCTGTTGATTCTTAACATGTGTTCACCTCCTTTACTCATCTGCTCACAGTCAGGCTTTCTCTCTCTCTTTCTCTCAGTTCCCTTCAGGACTGAACACGACCGTCCTGTCCTAATCGATCCTAGCAATCCTTCTAGTGTAAAAAACCCAATCCTTATGACTTTCCGGTTAGGAAAACAAACACCCAAACAGGCTGTTCTCTTGAGTTTTTACATATTTCATCATTATGTGCGAGTAATTTGGTCAACAGTTGATATCGATCATACATCTGGAAAAAGGCAATGCTCATTGTTTTGATCTACTTCGATGTCTTAAAGTATTTTGAGCCGAATTATCCAAACCACACTTTGATCTCCCGTTCAAAGAGTGCGTGTGGCTCCCACATACCGTATCAGATGTTTGTGGCCCAATGTTTTTTGGACGTTGTTTGTAAAAGTGTGTCCGATTGATTGACAGGTCATTCAATTCGGGGTGGACTGCGATCAAGATGAGTGCACCTGCCGTGACCCTGAAGCCGAGGAGAACAAGGGCACAGCCAAGCGAAAGGAGCCAGGAGCGCTGTGAATGATAGCGAGGCGGAGAGCGCGCGGACAGCTCTCAGATTGGCTTGAAAAGAAAATGCCAAACAATAACCTGAATGTTTCTCACTCCACATGAGAGCGAGGCTGATCAAAGGCAGTAATTCAAACCACAGAAGTGCATAACAACAATCCTCTTCAACACTAATCTATGAAATAATACCTAATATATTTTCAAGATCTCTAACATAGATGTAGATATGACCCATATTTTAACCCACAAGCATTTACGTACACCATCACACACACACACACACACACACACACACACAAACAAATATCAAGTGTAGCTGATTTTTATGAATATTTTATACCAATAGCTCTTGCTTGTTGTGAGCCACATTCTCAATATTACTTCCACCTATATGTCATTAATACAGGTATATAAACAAGTGCTTATCTCAGACTGTCAGTTCAAGATTTCAAGATTTTTTTCCCTCGCCTTATCCTTATTTTATACCCTCTACATGTACATGCAAACCTGTGAAATGCATGTGTGCTTTGGGAAAAGAGTTCATGTATAGCGATTGTAATGGAAATATATGATACTATTTTTGTATGCTCTTCTGTATGTTAAAGTGTAGGTGCACTGTCATATCAATAAAGTATAAATACACACAAGTTTAGTGGGTTTAAAAGAGTTGATGTCTATAATTGTGCTCAGTATAATAAAAAAAACAAGATTTAAATATCAATGTCAAGATTTAAGACAGTTTAATATAATTTTTTTTAAAAACATCAAATGGTGCAAGATGCAGAGTGAAATTACAAGATGGAATCCTATGAATAAGGCGAATATTAATTGTTAATTAATTGTTAAATTATTGTAAATGTTTAAAAATCGTTGCTGAAGAAATTGAATCATATTATAAAGAAAAAAAGGAAAATATAAAGAAATGATTAAATATTAAATAAAATCTATTTTCTAAATGCATGTGAAGGATCTTATTTTGAATGATTTCTGCTATGATTTCTGAATGTTTCATTTTTTGCAACCTTAAAATTTTTAATCAAAATGTCAAAATCTTCACAGACTTCTTGCTGTTGATTTATGCTGGCCAATTATTTAGTCTGTTTAGGTCCCGCCCCTTTTTCAATCAACTTTACAGTCCGCCTCCAACCAATCAACAACTGGTGGACAGAAACATGTTCTTGCCTTGCATTTTTCCCCGATAATTTGCTTCACTCAGATATGTCATAATACATTAAGAAAAGATCTGTTGTTGTACTCCTGTTTCATTGCAACTTTAAAACCTGTGCAGCACTCATTACTTTTGTTCAAATTTCAGTTGCACAATTAAATAATCATGGAATTAATTTGGGCAATTTTATTTGGAATAGGAAATAAAACATAAACAAGACATGTTATTGTACACAACTTTAAAATGGTTATTTTCATAATACTGCTTATACTTTAAAAAACTCCTGTACAGTTTCTTGTCCCATCATACCTTATTTTGAATACTACATTCAGCACATTAGTATGTGTTTAATAGTTAATTAACATTTACATTTGTTATAGCTCTTTCCATATCTATATGCACTACAGAGACAAACATTTTCAGCACATTAAGAAGATACAGTTTTAGTTCTTGTGAAAAAGTCCTACCTATACAAGCTGGTGTATGCACTATTTGACAAAATACACCACTAGGTCTAAATGACACTTTAATGCAACTTTCCTTTGACTGTACACTGTACATTTTTTTAATGTGCAAGCCCAGAGACACACCACTTGAATGCTTCTTAAAAACTCAGGATGGGCTGCTCATGTTCTCACAAAATATTTTCCTCTTCATCATTAAATGACCAATTAATGTTAAAACTGATGAGCAGATTCTCTAGAGAGAAGCCCTAAAGTGGAGGCCGTGTTGAGGTACGGCCCCTGACTGGTCCTCTTGTTGTCCAAGTCGGTTTAAAGTTCCTTGGGTTCTCCATAATCATTGTACATAACGGAGAGCATCTGATCTTCACAGGCCTTACGTAAATCTTGGCCGAGATTCACCCAGCTGAGCCCGAATGCTTTGGTATCTGTATAACGACAAGACAGATACTCGAGGGATGCTCTGCGCAAGCCAATTTTTGGTTCCTGGAGGAGACCCCGGCACCAACCGCTGAGTTCATCCAGCTGAGACAGGATCAATCCTGCTTTCCTGCAGTAGCAGACACAAAGATGATACTTGGTTAGTAGTGTGTGTTAATGTTTATATATTACAGATTGTCTGGGTTAAATGCATATGTAATGTATTTCAAGCAACTATGCAAAATTATTTTAAAAGAAAAAAAAGAAAGAAAGAAAGAAAGAAAGAAAGAAAGAAAAAGAAAGAAAAATAAAGAAAAAGAAAGAAAGAAAGAAAGAAAGAAACAAAATTCAGCATGGATGTAATAAATAGGCTAAAATGACTAAAAACTTTTAGAATGTTACAAAGTACAGAAAGAATAGAATTGTTGTCAAAAAATAGAAATAACCTTATATTCATTAAACAAAATAAAAAAATTCCAGAAAAATATTATTCAGCAAAAATGTTTTAAACATTTATAATAAATATTTCTCAAGCACCACCAATATTAGAATGATTTCAGTTTTTCCAATACAGGAACAAATTGCATTTTAAAATATATTAAAATAGAAAATAGTAATATTACATTTTTAATAAAATGATTTTATATTATTATTATTATTAATATATATATATATATATATAAGTAAAAAAAGACATTTTGTTAAAAATATATTTTGAGATTGAACACACGCATATATTATGTAAACAAAAACTTTTATTTTGGGTGCGATTAATCACGATTAATCGTTTGACAGCACTTATATATATATTATATATATATATATATATATATATATCATCATTAGGGCCATTAGTCAATAAGTCCTTAGTAATTAAACTCACATACAGTACTTTTGTATTGACTCTGATTGATCTTTTTTGTCATTTTGTTTTATTTCTGTACTATCAAATTGCTTTATTCAACAACACACAGCTTTTATCTTGCTGTGTAAGTGATTCCTGTTAGTGTTTTCTGCTAACATCCATTGTGATACTCATACTACATAGTTTTTATAATATTGCTATTGCGCAATGCTCTTGACACTGGTTTGAAATTTTTCTTCCTCTGGTGGTTTAAACATTGAGCATTCCATTCCGTTTATCCATTCTGAGAATGCCCACCTCACAAGCTGCTCCGGAGCATGAGACTGAAAGATTGATGGGAGACTCCAATATAACAAATAGAAACGGCAGGCGATGGCCATATTCAGCTAAAACACAGGTCTTCTGTTTGCACCCCTTAAACGACGCTCTTCAAAATCTGGACCGAGGAGTTTGACCATAAATCAAGCCTGTGGTGTTTTTATATCAAACTGTAATGGCAAAGCCTTGAAAAATAAATTTTCCCATCAAGAAGCTTCTGAGGTAACACAGTACCGATTAGGTGAATGGCAGCTAAGGTTAAGTACCTGTGAATTCTATTAGCGACGGTGACTTGAGAGGGCCGTTTATTGAGTATGTGCGAATGCAATGAAGCGCCAATATCCTTCGCAAAAGACAAGAAGCTGAAATGCGATACCAAGAGTACGGAAAGAGCGCCTCATTCCTAAGTCATAGCTTCACTTCAAACCCCTGCCAAACCAGAAGCTCAACACTCTACCACATAAATACCGAAAACCAAATCTGTGTAGACCAACCAGGCTTTGGGGCTAGCTAAGTGCATTTTTAAGTGTGTTTACGATTAAAATGTGGCTTAAACCGATTCAACTGAACGCACAATGTCTTGTTTGATTGCATTTGCAATTTATTGAGGTTTCACGCAACAAAGAATAAATTCATTATTTACTTTGGCCTCCAATTAATTCACAAGGTATATTAACGGAATTTTAATGATGTCAGAAATCACTCGCATATTAAATGAAATATATTCCCATCTGCTGTAGAGATGCTGTCTTTTATATCATTCTTTTGAGTGTATTTATGTTTTTAATATCTTGCCACATTTCAGTGGTTGTAGGAATTTGGATGTTTATTTGCTTAAAACAAAACCCTGTGGTTTGTTATCCTTTCATTTTTCAAGAAAGTCAGTTTTGCTCTCCAAATAGCAACGGTTGTCACCATAAATCCCAGCATGTATGGAAGTGGAAAATGGCCTCTTATTTCCAAGGTACGTTTTCAACCTCTTGGGCTCTGCCAGTGCCTCTCTCTCACTCTCGCTTTCCGAAATCTCTTGCACTAGTCTGGGAGGAAACAATCAGCTGCATTCCACCGACATCCAGAGTAGCACACCTACCTGCTTCCATAACATCCATTTGGAATGGCCTTATGACTCAACGCGGTTCCCTATAGTAACTGTACATCATCAATGTCCAACGAAAACAGCCAAAGAACTTTAAAATGAACACACCGAATTCCACCAATTAAAGCGTGAGTCAGTCCAACCAATAAGCCCACCAATTAAGAATGAGTCAGAAGAAATTCTGTCTTGATATCTCAAAAAGAAAGAAAACACAGGGAATGGTCCTTTTTTCAAATCTATTTTGTTCCAAGTCTGAACTGGTTTATATGCTGAGGGGGGCCAGTTTAATTACAATTATCTTGTATTATGACTAGTTCATGAAAATTGCATTTAAATGCTGCAGATGAGGAAACCCCAGTGAACTTTTGTATTAGACAGAAACAAATTTTCTTTGTTTATATTTCCATCCTATCCTATGCTGAAAAAATGCTGTATGGACGCAATGAGATTGGAAATGACGCATACGAGTTGTTTGGAAGACAGATGCTGGGGAGATAATGGCCCATCTCCCCAGACCTCCACTAGAACAGCTTATCTGAAGTCTAAAAACTTGCGCAATATTTCATGGAACTGGGTCGATCATAGGGGCATGATCACACGCACCATTCATTGTGCAAATATCTGGATGAATTAATTATGAATGGATGTTGTTTTGGGGTTATTTCAATGCATTTGTCATAGAAGACAGCTTTAGGGGGTACTAATCAACCTGTTATCATTTCAACTCGGTTCTCAAATCTCACTGATGGACAATGACAGTATTAATGACGTCACTTGACCCAACATGGGATCAACAAACCTTTTACCCTTTAGCACTCATAAGGTCCTACTTAAGGAAAGGTTAATAATAAATATTTACTCTCTATAAAAAAAAAATCTATTTAAAATGTATTTAAAAAAAATAACTGAGCTAAATCATACTCAAAGGTATGGAGAGATTTGACATTTTGAAATGAATTTATTACATACAGTATCTTGCAAAAAATAAAATAAAATGATTAAATGCAAGCAATCATAAATAAATAAATGTAAAGATAAAATACACATTAAAATTAAAAATGAAGTGAAATGCACACCTTGAAAAAAACATGAACATCAATATATAATTAAACTGAATATATCATAAAATGTTGCAATCAATATATATAAGCATAATAAAAAAGTGAATAGAAATAAATACTAAGTGAAATGTATTTATGTAAAATGAAAAGTGACCTGAAATATGACATTATATACATATATATTTCATTGCACTTGTATTTATTTATTCTATCATTCTTTTATTGACTGAGTGATTAAAATATTTGCAATAAATGTTGCTTTATAATATTAATAATA